ATTCTTCCTCTCTCTCTCTCTCTCTCTCTCTCTCTCTCTCTCTCTCTCTCTCTCTCTCTCTCTCTCTCTCTCTCTCTCTCTCTCTCTCTCTCTCTCTCTCTCTCTCTCTCTCTCTCTCTCTCTCTCTCTCTCCTCTCTCTCTCTCTCTCTCTCTCTCTCTCTCTCTCTCTCTCCTCTCTCTCTCTCTCTCTCTCTCTCTCTCTCTCTCTCTCTCCTCTCTCTCCCTCTTCCTCCTCTCTCTCTCACTCTCTCTCCTTTCCTCTCTCTCGCTCTTTCTCCCTCTCTCTCTTTCTGTTTATATCTATCCATGTGCTTGTTGATCTATCTCTGCATCTACCTATCTTTCTCTCTCTCCTTCTCCTCCTCCTCCTCCTCCTCCTCCTCCTCCTCTTCCTCCTCTTCCTCCTAAAACCGTTCTATCCCTCCTTCCTTCTCTCTTACCCTCTCCTCGCTCTTATCCTCCTTTTCCTTCCCTCTCTCTCCTCCCCTCCCCTTTACTCTCGGTCACTCTCCCCTTCCCTATCCATCCCTCTTCCTTTCGTTTTCTCTCCTCTATTCTTCTTCTCTCTCTCATCCCCTCTAAACCTTGCCCTCTTTCCCATCCTCCTCCCACCCTCCGTCCTTTCTCATTCCCTCCCATCCCATACTTCTCTCCTTCCCTCCTTTTTCCCTTCTCATCCCTACCCCCCTCCTCTTCCCCCATCCCTCCTCCCTCCTTCCCTACTTCCTTCCCTCCTTTTCCCACCCCATCCATCCCCCTTCCTTTCCCTCCCTCCTCCCTCCCTCTTCCTTTCCCTCCCCCTTCCATCCTTTTTTCCCTCCCCCCCCATCCCTCCCTCTTCCATTCCATCCTTCCTCCCTCCCTCCCTCCCTCCTTTTTTTCCCTCGTCCCTTCTTCCATCCCATCCTCCCTCCCCCTTCCTTTCCCTCCCTCCTTCCCTCTTTTTTTTCCCTCATCCCTCCTTCCATCCCATCCTTCCTCCCCCTTCCTTTCCCTCCCCCTTTCCCCTTTTTCCCTCCAGGCGCGCGGAGAGGAAGAGGAGATCTACTGGCTGCGCCCCAAGCCGCCCCCCGGAGGGTCTGAGAGCTGGAACAAGCGCAAGCACTCACCCGGGGCCAAGCACAAGGTCACCTTCGACGACACCCCTTCGACTTCAAGGTAAGTTTTGCTTTTGATTTTTCTTGTGCATGCTTGGGAAGTTTTTTTTTTTTTTTTTTTTTTTTTTTTTTTTTTTTTTTGGGGGGGTCGACATTTTTTTCTTTTCTTTTCTATTTTTTCTTTGTTTTGTGGGGTGGTTGGCTTCGACGTGTTTTTTTTTTTTCTTTCTTTCTCTTTCCTTTTTCTTTTCTTGAAGGGGAGGGGGGGGGGCGCTGGAGTCTCGGATGAGGTATGAGTTTGTGATGATGTGTCCGTTAAGCTGTCCGTTTGTCTACGTTTAATTGTCCGATTCTTTGCATTCGGATCCACACGTTCTTTAACGTTTTATAATCAAACGAACTTGATTGTAGACGAAGCTCCATGATTTGCAAAAAAAAAAAAAAAAAAAGAAAGAAAAAAAGGGGAAATTTCCCTTAAAGAAATGATAATAAAAACGCGAAATTTCATTTAAAAGTAAATTCTCTCAACACGTGGTTTTGACTACAATGCCCGGATGTGGTTATATCCCCGTATAATTAGCATAGTTGCGCACAGGTCCACTATCTATGGCTAAAGGGAAAAAGGGCTAAAACAAAGGGGAAATGTGAGGGGAAGGTGGAAAATGTTAGGGAAAAGGATGGAAAATGTGAGGGAGAAATTGAAGGGTAAAGATGGGAAATGTGAGGAGGAAAAGAGGGAAATGTGAGGGAGGGAAAGGAGTTTTCGAAAATGTGAGGGAAAAGAGCGAAATGTAAAGGAAAGGGGGGAAATGTTGAGAGGGGAAAGAGGAAATGTGAGAGGGGAAAGAGGGAGATGTAAGGGGAAAAGAGGGGAGGATGTAAGGAGGAAAAGGGAGAATTGTAAGGGAAAAAGAGAAAAATGGAAGGGGGAAAGAGTGAAAAATATAAGGATTAATAGAGGTAAATCAGAGAAGAAAATGGGAAATACGCAACGAAAGAGAGAAAACGTAAGGGGCGGAAAGAGAGGGGAAACTTAAAGAGAAAGAGAGGAGAAATATGAAGGGAGAAAAGAGAGAGATAAAGAATTACAGAGAAGGGGATGTAGGAGAGCTAGATAAAGAAAAAAAAATGTGTCCGCCAAATCGATAGTCATTTGGCCGGAATTGAATTTTGTGGAGTAAAAAGGAAAAAAAATGCGATGTGTCTGAATATTAATCGTATAGAGTAATTGAACACTTAAGCGAATTGTTGGAGAATTTTCGTCACCCATTTCGCCCTCCCTCCTCATTTCTCTTCTTCCCTCTTTCGTTTTCTTTTCTTTCTTTTTTTCTTTCTTTCTTTCTTTCTTTCTTCTTTTCTTTGCTTCTACCTTTCTTTCCCTCTTTGCTTCCCTCGTTTGTCT